CATAAAATCTTGAGATGAGATTTTGTTTAAGGGGGGGGGGAGAGTTCTAACACCCTCGGTGTTACACCCGAAATCATTTACTAAAACATGTCATGAGCATCATGTTTATGTGTTAGTGCATGTGATAAAGTACGTAGATCAATTTCTTGTAACCCAAAATGATTAATAAAACTGTTAAACGAAAGTTGATTCAATAGCTCATGTATATCAAGTAGGGTTTAAAACTAATGTTTATTGAACAAAAACACTATAGAACATATGTGTAGCGCTTAAATAAAGTTTGAAATATGAACTTTGTAGATAGCAATAAAATACTTGCTGTAGAAAAATAGCATTGCTAGCCAATATTTTTAATAGCCAAGAAATGCAATTTGGACTCAAGTTCAGCTCAAGGGATTAGAAGATTTTTAAGTGTATAGATAGCTAGACAATGTCATGTTTGGCAATTTATTTTACGAAATCGGGTTAAGAAAAGGTGTTATGTTTTCGCTTGAGTTGGTAGCCTCATATGCCATCTTGTGCATGGTGAATATGGTTTAGGTTTAGAAGCAACCGTTTAGTTTTCATAGGCGCTTTAAATTTCGTGCACAACACGTTCTCGGGCTAGTTCATCGGGTGAGCGCGATCACCACACCTTGGGGGCACGATGTCGCCACACCTGCTCACTCTGCGCGCACACGCGCGCTGCCGCATGTGTCTGGCTGCTCTGACCTGGCTATATCCTGGCCACCGCTGGCTCCTGGTGCGCGGAGCCACAGTCGCTGCTTGCGTAGCCTGGCGGTGCTGCCACCGGTCCCGTCGGACCACCGCACTGCCAACCCGCCCGCACCGCGACGCAGCCGCTACCGGTGTCGTTGCCTCGCCATCATGTCCGTGCCTCCCTCTGCATCTTTGTGCCACTACCCGCCCAGTGCGATGCCGCTTCTACCGTGCGCACGTGGCTAGGCTCACCATCGCCTTGTCATTGATGGCACTGTGGTGCTCGAGCCACGCCGGTCGCGAACGCGCGCGCCTGTCTGCTAGCGCCTGGACGTGGGTCTTCACGGTCGCGTCAACCACATCCAGCCAAGGCGAGCACACGCCGAGCCACCGGCCGTACCCCACCGCTCTCTCTCTCTCTCTGTTCTCATCTCTCTGCGTGCTGTGTTGCATGGGCCGCGCGTGTGGGCCGCGCGAGAGGATCCGTTTTTCTTTTTCATAAGGAATTAGAATTAGTTTTCTAATTTAATTTTTAGCTGATCTTTGGTAATTAATATAAAATCATGTAGGTGTCCAAAAATTATGAAACAAATTTTGTTAGGTTCCTAAAATTATGCTCTATCTGTTAGTGTATTTAGTTTATATATATACATGTTGATACTATGAGCTATTAAATCATTTGAAAATGTTTAATATTGTTAGGATAATTATTGTAGGAATTTTTCTGGTAAAATTTGTGATAGCTTTAGTCCTAAAAATTTTATAGTAACTTCATTGTATTATTATGTGCGCATGGTAATTTTTATAGCCTAAGAATAGACTAAACAGTATGGTAGTTAAATGCTATTTGTTTTAATATATATTAAATTATTAGTAGAAATAAAGATATATCTTTAATTTGTAAAGCTAGGTGTTTGTTAGTTGAACCCAATACTTTGCTTGGTAAAGATGATAGTTAGCTTAGTACCTTAGTCATTAGAGCTATCTTAGTAGCTTAGTATGCGTATTCTTAGTTTAAGAGTTGTTGTTGCCTAAATGCTAAGTGTTGCATCATCATCGCATGCATGTAGAGAACGAGTTGGCGGAGATCGTGACCACCGACCATCATGAGTTTGAGGAGATCGTCGAGAAGTACAAGGAGGAGATTCTCGTGTAGGAGGTGGTCCCAGAGCCACCACTGACTGACTCAGCTGACACCGCGCCTGTCTAAGGCAAGCCCCGGTGCATAACCCTTATTTTTGATAATCACTAAATATATATATGTGATGTGCATTTATGTTACAGGAATTTTATAAAACCACATGCATAGATATATCTACCCTATGAGTCTTACTAGTGCAGGTTTGAGTAGATGCTATGCTTAGGTTTTCGGTAGCGTGGGTAACCTGCCGTTACTTACAATAAGTGATTATTATATTTACTCTCATGATAAAATGATGAAAGAAAAAATGAAGACCAGATAGGGATATAGTATGTGTATTGGCGGGTGTGACGAGTTGTGTCCCGCGGCCATGGGGCTTAGCTTGGTTACACTGTTTTCTCTATTCGTGTCGATTGAAGACCGTCCGTTGCTGTGGATGGTAGTCAGGTCACAGACTTATTATCCTAAGCATATACTTGCTTATGGCAGCGGGAAGGCTCGTTACGCTTTTGTCGTGGGTTCCGGCTCTTTCCGGACCAACTGATTGAAGGCGGGAAAAGGTGGAGGTCTAAGCACCATACTGAGACCGGGTCTCAAGTGTGGGGGCTTGGAGTCCAAGTTTGGATGAAGACTTGGACCCCGTGACAGGAGTTGAATGGGTTGGTCTTATTTGTGCTTGGGGTACAAACGGGGCGTGTATTTCGGAGTACCCAGCTGGGATACATTGGTTCACGAATCGCCATTTCCGTGAAATGGTATGACTTGGTTATGGTCTAGCACCGTAGTAAGAACTGGCAGATGAAAGATGGTAAAATGGTTCTGATTGCTCAACCATTGCTTGAAAGTGGAACTGGTGCTTACTTAGAATGGTTAGCTAACGATGTAATCATGACTGCTAATAAAACTTGATCTTAAGGAATTACTCCTAGTAATGATTTTCGCAAACAAAAAGAAAACAGCAAAACCATATTGCTTATCATGTCCTTGAGAGTCGGGAAACTATTCCTACTAATCGGGTAAGTCTTGCGAGTACATCGTGTAATCATGGTTTTATTTTATCCCTGTTGCAGGTGCAGCTTGAGGAGTAGCTCTTGTGTGGAGGATTCTTCTGGTGGACAGAGACGGATTCTTGTATTATTTCTGCTAGATGTTTATTTTCATTCCGCTGTTTAATTATCGTACTCTGAAATTTGGTATTGTAATAAATAATTTTTAAGAACTCTGGTCGTATGAAATAGACTAAGTATTGTAAACTCGTGCTCATTATGGGATTCTGGATGTAAAACATGGATTGTTTCGAGTTCTCCCTTGAGTGTGCTCGATGGAACTGTCTGATATAGCTAACTTTTAGGGTGCTTAGTGTCCAGTGAAAGACGAGCGCTTCCGAAAGTGTGTTATTTCGAGCGGTTCTGCCATAGTACCTGAGCAACGTGGGCAAGTTTATAAACCATTATGAATCGAGCATTTGGATTGAGTTCGAAATAAGAATATAGACTATTAGAATACCCGGTAATGGAAGATTATGCTATTAATTTTGAGGAAAAAATTAAACCATCATCAACTATTAGTGATGAGTAATATATTATAATACTAGATATATGCCCGTGCGTTGCACGTTGTTATAAATTTTTGCCCACATTTTTTTGAACAATTTTTGCCCACGTCATGACGGTTTTGATCCTTTTTAGATAGAAGATAATAAAAAATTAATGAACTACTTTGCATTGAGAAGGATAAACTATTTTCAAATCTATTTAGGTCTTGTCTATCTTTTTTCTCTCCCTGTCCCAAAATAAGCAAACTATTTCAAGTTTGACCAAACTCATACAAAAAAATACTAATCTTTATCATATCAAATAAGTACTATTAGATTGATTATGGAATAAAATTTTATTTTCTACCTATTCGGTGTCATAAATATTAATGCTTCCTAATGAGCTTGTCCGATCCGCATGCCCATCTTCCTCACCCTGGCATATTTTTTGTTTGAACATGCGTCTTTTAAGAGAGGGTGAGCGCGGCGCAGAGCGAGAGGTGAGGAGGGCGCAGACGATAACCCTTTCTATTTTTTTAGATGTATATAAAGATGTGTCAATTGTAGAAGTCGGATGTAGTAATCTCATAGATCAGATGTCCAGCACAACAAAGAAAAATTAAGATATGTTAATAAACAAAGTCTTGCTGAATGTATAAATCGACAGAGATCATGACATCTAAAAATGACAAGTTAGGTTATTCATGCAACGATAGTTACCAGGTTCCTCACACGCTAGCACTCTACGACGAACAGTGTCAGGCTTGGGGCGTCACGTGGGCATCTGGAACGTCACCTCGCATGCTTCTCTGAGGTGGCGGCAGCGTCCCTCTGGATTTCGCTGGGCTGGAGATTCGTCCGTCCAACTTGAGTCGATTTTTGTTCGTTTCCTTTTGCGTAGCTTTTGTTGATTTTTTTTAACAAGCTTTCGTCGAGTTTGAGGGGCCGACGAGAACAAGATCAAGTTAGGACACGGGGTTTGACCGAGGTCCGAGAGGAGCGATAGGGAGGGGCGATGGTTTTTTCTTACGGTAAGACGAATACTTTAGAGTTTTTTTAGTATAAGATAAGAAAATAGAGGTGGATATAGAGATAGAGATATAATTTTATTCGTACCTGACGCTATATTCAGCAATTTGAATTATAAAATAACTCGATTTAAATAAATAATAAAAAAATACAATTCTACAAGGAAATTTGTCTCGGGTCAGATCTCTGAACGCTGATCGCTCAGTCGCAGCTTGCAACCAATCGCCTAGTGCCCTCTCTCGGCTAGATTATAACGCGGACAATAATCCAGGCGACCAGGCGTCCAAAACCAAGTTCGCGAAATTTGGATTTTAGGATACTGTAGTACGTTCATTTTTATTTAGTAAATAGTATTCAAACATAGACTAATTAGCCTTAAAATATTCGTCTCGTAATTTTCCACCAAATTATACAATTAGTTTTTCTTTTCGTCTACATTTAATACTTCATACATAGACCGCAAACATTCGATATGATAGATAATGTAGCAACTTTTTAGAAGTTGGGGAACTAAACAAGCGGCGACTCCCTTAATTCGCGAAAAAAAAAGGGAGGTAGTCGCCCACCCGATCCGATCCCCAAATTCTCCACAACCCCATGGCGGCGAGCTTGTGGCGGGCGGTGATGGGCACCGGCGCGGCGTCCACGGACGCCACCGACTCCGCGGGCGTCGGCGTCGAGTTCTGGCGCGCCCCGGAGCGCGTGGGTTGGCTGACCAAGCAGGGCGAGTACATCAAGACGTGGCGGCGGCGGTGGTTCGTGCTCAAGCAGGGGCGGCTCTTCTGGTTCAAGGAGTCGACCGTCACGCGCGCCTCCGTGCCCCGCGGTGTCATCCCTGTCGCCTCCTGCCTCACCGTCAAGGGCGCCGAGGACGTGCTCAACCGACCCTACGCCTTCGAGCTCTCCACCCCGCGCGAGACCATGTACTTCATTGCTGACACCGAGAAGGAGAAGGAGGAGTGGATCAACTCCATCGGGCGCTCCATCGTCCAGCACTCCCGCTCCGTCACCGACGCCGAGGTCGTCGACTACGACAGCCGCCCTGGCGACAAATGATTGATTTGCGAGCAAAAGGACCCGTTACACCTGTAACTCTGCAGCGTCTCTATGTTACTTTAACTCTGCAGCGTTTCTATGCTACATAGTTTCGCACTTGTTATTGTTGTTTTGTGGATATGATCTGTGCATTTGTATAATATTTTGGTCATTGGGGAATAAGTTCGGGATCATGTATAGCGTGCTATCTGATACAGTACTGCAGATCGGTTCTCTACGTTCAAATTTGTGCACTGCCGTTTGATTTGTTTGGTCAATTGTTTATAGTATTTGGTTACATTACACCTCTGGACGTGTGAACTTACAGCAATCCAACAAGAAAATTTTCTTGCTGCTTTTAATTTGCTCCTTTGAGTGTCATATTAGCTTAGACCCATGATATTACTTGATTGCTCCTGTTGTCTTTGAACCATACTTGAATTGTATCTCATTTAGTTGATGAAATCTTGGTTTGCCTATTCTAGCAACTATGTTTCCTTGACCATGATGATCTCAGAACAATTATCTGCTCATTCAGGAAAGACCTCTAAGATTCTGTTGTCTTCTGCGCAAGCATATGAAATGCACCGGGCATTGGCTTCCTATACTGAAGGTCTAGACTTCAGTGTTACTTGTGAGCTCATATCCTCGATTTGTGTTTTGAAAGCCATGTTGATGAAAACGGATTAAACTGTTGTGGTTATCTGTTCATCAAAACAGCTAGAAACGCCGATCTTATAGTTTATTTGCAGATGATTTGGTAAGTCAGCGGATTGTCTGCCTCATCTTTAGGGTGTATAATGTGCTAATGACCTCAGCCTTATTATGTCAAAGGTGGATGCTATCATGCTATAACCCAGTGATCAACAACCCACGCTAATTTGCATGGTTGTGCTTAATTCACATTTAACTTATGCATCAAATATGTTCGCAATGAATCTTGCAATTCTTGTTCTTAGTGAGTTAGTGTATCAGTTATTATTATCTCTGTTTATTTTGTTCTGAAATGCTGTTATATTCTTATGTATGACTCAAGGATACCTTTTGCATTGCATGTCTGTAAGACTATTGTCTTACCTGTGACTGTAACATTGAATTCAAAGTGTCGAATATTAAGACACATTCATCCTCATATTTGCAACATTTTAGAATGGGGGACCAAAGATGATAATAGATACTACTCTCTCCAGGCCCTAGTCTGAGTAAAAAATACTTTCATTTTGGGCATAGCATATAACCTTTGACCATTTTTTCTACTCGAATATATTTACAATCTAATTAATATATGAAATTATATAAGTAAATATCAAGGAAAACCTGCATGAAGGACTTATCTTTCCAAGCTAAATATTTTAAAAGGTTGTTGATAGTCAAAGTTTCACATATTTGACTGGATCTTGTCCAAAAGGCCAAGTATTTGTGACTGAAAAGGAGCATTATTTGATATTGAAGCATGTAAAGAAAGTTGTCAGCAAACCAAATGGTCTGCATCCAGTTGGAGAATGCAAAGACAAGTATAATAGCTAGGTCATTATCTAATTGCAAACTTCTGCTGAGTTACACTAGTTAGACCGCTGAAGTCTGGTGGCAATGACACCCAGGTTCGAAGTCTGGCTCAATCGTCTTAAGAACAAAATGGTCTACTTTTGATGCTTGTATATATCATGTGAACCTATTAACATAGGTTTATAACTCTTATCCAAGCATACTTGTGGTTGCCTCTTTTGTGAATTCTGTCAAATATAAGTTTTTTCATTCCTTGTGGAGATTTGTGCCCTCCTGTATACCCAGGGTTTCTTCATACAATTTAAAATCCAGCGTTGCTTCTGCTGTATACCATGTTACGAGTTAGCTGCCACATGTATCCAGCAATACATTTGCCTCCAGAATCTCAAGGTTTCTGGGCTGGTACTTAAGTTTTAGTTAGCTGTTGCTATGCTGCCGCATGTCTTGCTTTATAATATTTGTCCCGAATCATACTGTCCTTATTGGAATTTAAGTCGTGAAGCTTGTGAGAAACATTTGGAAATCTGCTGTTGATGCTATCTTAATTCCTCAGAGCTGGTCGTTTTCCTTTTCAGATCCCTCCAAATTCCAAGTGAACTGCCAGGAAGCACAAGGCCAACATCATGTCTCATCTTCCCTGTAATTGATCAGATAGTCTACCTCTTCTTCATTGTTTCGTCATGCATCATCCTAATATGGCAGAGCTCACGTTCGTCAGACTGGAGCCGCTCATGGATACAGCATGTGGCAGAGCTCACGTTCATTTGCTCTGGTTTCTTGTCCTCTGGTTCCATCCTTCCTGTATTGAATTGCAAGCATGCCTAAAGTATCCTTGTGTCTGCGCGCAGCCCGTGTGCTTGCGGAGCACAAGCGCTATCGCACGCACGGATGACATTTTGGATGGCTAAAACCACGTACGCCCATCGTTAAGCCATAATGCGCACCTAACATACACGGATCATACATAACTAGGACGTAACGCGCGCTTCGCTGCGCGCGCGGCAACGATTAGCATAGTCATCGTATGTGTACCAGTAGGCTAAATGTCTGATGTCTGTTGGGCCGTACAAGATCCATTCGACTTTTGGGTAGCGCTACAGATAAAAGATTCAATACATATTCGACATCTTCTCCAACAATAACATTCCAAAGAGAATCCTTTCTGCAAATGGATTTTCAGAAGAGAGGATGCTCATATTTGGGTTGTGTCTCTTAGACTGTCTCCAATGATCGCGACCCAAAATATAAGACATATTCGTCATTTGGGTAACGCAACAGGCTAATGGTTCAATACATATTTTTGGTCGTCTCCAACAACAAGACCCAAAAGACAACCATTTCTACAAATGGGTCTCTAGCAGAGAGGATACTCAGATTTAGGTTATGTCTCTTCTGACATCTAAAATAGGTCTTCCATATAGGTACTCTGTTGGAGGTTATAAGTATTATGTTGGAGACCCATTTTGAATTTGAGTTCCGCAATGGATCTCCCGTTGGAGACAGTCTGGTAACCCAAAATGGATCTCCCATATAAATACTCTATTAGATACTGATTTTATATCTTTAGTTATTCATTTTAGGTTTGGATGTCTATTTAAGTCACTTGTTGAAGACAGTCTTATACTACCCACAACGTGAGTCAGAACCGATGCCGAAACATGGAAAAGTCACTCTGGGCATCGAGTAGTGCCATTGTGGGAAGCGGATGCTGAGTTCGAAAACATTGGCACCGAGGAACCTACTTGCGTCGATGCTGAGAAATAAAAAGTTACTTCTTAGCCGGCGTTTGCTGCTTGCTCATGCGCAGGAATAAAGATGGTGCTCTGACGTTGGACCCTACAAGCACATGCATGTCGATGCTGAACACTATGATGTTAGAGTGTTTTTTCAGCATCGGCTGTGATAGCTTTCTCAGCCTCGACTAATCTGTGGGTAGTGTTAGGGCATGTACAACAGAAAAACTGCTCGCTGTCCACTTTACAATACAGACGGCTAAACAGACAGATCGTACAACCCACAGACAGCTATTATCCGTTAGGCTATCTACAAATCATTTAATGTTTGCACATAGCCATGATCAATCATGAATAACATTTCTATATACAATTGTGTTGCTAATTGATGCAAAATAAATCCTTCAAAGTAAATCATACATTATATATATAATATAATATAATATTTCATAACTCAAATATAACATACGATCTTCCTCCCCATAAATCAAATATGATTGAAACATTTATGTCTAATTTTCTTTATTTCCATAGCGTTGCCATATGTGCCCAACAAGATCATTCCTAAGTTGTCTATGTGTTGGCCGTGCTTGGATAGCGGAATTCCTTCTAAGCACCTCCACGAAGCATGGATTGGGGTTATCACTTGTATACACTTCAGGCGGGAGCACTATCGTTGCACTTGCATTCTCATTCAAATCCATGGAAACTCTAACCAATTCCTTCTCATCCTCCACTATTATATTGTGAAGGATAACACAAGTTTGCATTATGTTGATAACGTCCCCTGCTTCCATAACCTTGATGGTCGACGAACAATATCAAAGCGAGATTGCAGTACGTCAAATGCGCATTCGACAACCTTCCTCGCCCCTTCTTGCATCAATGCAAACAATTTGTCTTCATCCGTCTGAGAGGCTGATATTGTCTTCACGAAGACCGCCCATTCTGGATATATTTTATCGGCGAGATAGTAGCCCATATCATATTGTGTTCCATTTACGGTGTATTGTACACTTGGAGCTTCCCCTTTTAGACATTGATGAACATTGGTGACTTGTTTAGGACATTGATGTCGTTCTGAGATCCGGCGGTACCAAAAAAAAGCATGCTATAAACAAAGATTATGAGATGCCACTGCTTCAAGGGTCATAGTAGGAACACCTTTGTAACCACGTGTGAACATGCTTGCCCAACCTTTCGGACAATTCTTCCATGCCCAATGCATACAATCGATGCTTCCCAACGTTCGCTTGTAGGAGGGTGCAGGTACTCTTGACCAAAACATTCAATCACCCCTACGTCAAATTGTCCTAGAATCACTAAAGAAGTGCTTGCGGCAATTTTTAGTACCTCATCAAGTTGGTCGGCCGGGGAGCCGTATGCTAGCATCCGGATTGCCGCAGTACACTTCTGAAGGGGTGAATGTCCGTCCCTACCAGATGCATCAACTCTTCGAGTAAAATAAGGATCCCAATTGCTAAGAGTTTCCACGATGCACAGGAATAACGGTTTATTCATCCGAAACCTTCTACGGAACATCTCATCGGTGTAGATAGGATTTGCAAAAAAGTAATTAGCGACAAGACAAGATCATCATAACCTGCTTCTCGATTCCTTGGTATGTACCTCCTTGGTCCACTTTGTCGTCGTCGGCGAGTCACAGACGATGTTCCTCCTTCGATGTCGGCCTTCAATCCATCTCCAATCTTCCTCACAAATTCTTCTACGATTTCATCCTCCGCTAGGAAATCATCCATGGTGACACCTCTGTAGGATCAA